CTAGTAAGAATATTTTAAATAATAAAACACAATTTTTAAATAAGTATTTTTTTTATTTCATTAGATGAATATGCTATCGTCTCTATCAATTTTTGAGTGTCAATAGCTATATTTTTTTCTATAGCCATCAACATTAATGGAGTAAGGTGATTTTGATGTAACGTTGAGCGAAGTTTCGTTTTTATACATTTAAGCTTTGAAAATACCCTTTCGCAAGTTGTTTGTGTTGATGGCAACAACAAAGCAAACTTATATATAACATTTGTCTCCTTTGTGGTACTTGCCAAAAACTCGACTACCGGGATTTAAATTTTAAAAAAAAGGTGGGCAAGTGGGTGTCGCTCTGCTGTACAGTAGGTTACAAGTGGGTCACTGTATAATGGATGGTATTACATTTGAATTCAATGATATTATATCATTGTATAAGAAAAACGATTCTGAGCGGAGACATTATGTCCTTCTAGGTATAAGACATATTAAATACTTATCTATAGTATTAAAAAAAATTGACCTATAATGAATTCCAAATTAATCATATCACAATATCCATTAGGTACTTATAACGCGTTATACACCAACAACAAACCCTGATACTATCATAGATATATATAGTAGATTACTTTAGAAATTTCAAGTACCCACGAATAATATTATACAATCACAACAAAATAACTAAAATCGTAATTCTTGGTTTAAATATGAAATTTTGTCTAAATTTGAAATTAAAATGTCTGTAAAAAATAAGTGTGTTTATATATTTTTTAGATTTTTTGGTTACAGTATGAATTATTTAAGAGAATCTTTGTTTTAAATTTTCAACTCTTAGTTATAAAAACTGAACATTTTATAATTTTCTAATTCCAACGATTGATAATTTTCGAGATTTTGATAAATTTTGTCAAAATTCCAACTTTAAATGCTTATAAAAAAAAATCGTGCCTATGTATTTTTAAAATTTTTCAACTGATATTGTAACAATATATAAGAAAGCTTGTATTAAATTTTCAGACTTTTTGGCCCACCAAATAAAATTTTATTGACAATTATAAAAAAAAAAACTAAAAAAATTGAAAACTGAAAATGTCCGCAAACAGCTCAAAAAGAGTCAAAATATTTTCAAAATTGTATGGTGTATAGGAAATACTAATATAAACATTCAGTGAAATTTTCATGTATCTACAGTTATTCGTTTTTGAATTACAACAAAATAAGGAAATCGCTACATGAGAAATCGAGTGAAAATCCAATGTTGTAAAAATTTGAATTTCAAACGCTCATAAAAATTTAATTTGACTGTCCGGTAGAGATTTTTTTATTGATAAAGGTAGATAATCTTATAAGGAATCTTGTGTTTCATTTTCAAATCTTAGATTTAAAAAGAAAAATTTTTACGAATTCTTAACTCAAAATAATTTGCTAATTTTCGTGATTTTTCCATATTTTGTCAATTTTTGAACTTTAAATGCTTATAAAAAAAAATTGTGACTAAGGATTTTTAATATTTTTCATCTGCCTTTGAAACAACATATTAGGAGCCTTCTATTAAATTTTCAAGCTTTCGCAACCAACAAATAAAATTTTATTGATAATTTTAGAAAAAAAACTAAAAAAAATGGAAAATGAAAATGTCCCTAAACAGTTCAAAATAAATCAAAATATTTTGAAAATGTTATCGTGTATAGAAAATGCAAATATTAACAACCAGTGAAAATTTCATGTATATACGTTCATTTGTTTTAGAGTTACACCAATAACCAAAATCGATTTTTTGGAAAACCAATTTTGCGTAAAAATTCCCGTTTTTTCTTAATTTTTATGTTGTTTTTCCCGGCGCTTGTGAAAACTACTGGGAAATTTATACTTTTGACCCCCCAAAGTACCAACTAGATTCACTTTCCTATCAGAAAAGGTACTATTGAAGAAAATGGAAGCACTTTTACTGTCCTAAAACGTGATGACAGACACAAAAATATAAAAATATAAATAAAAATATAAAAACATACATCATTGTAAAACCAATACATTCATCGCTCCGCTCAGAATCTAAAATGTGATTTAGGTAACCTATTGGCTATTGATCTATTATAAAATAGAAACTGAACCTACCAATAATATCACTTTATAAAATAATTAAATGTGATAATTTGAAGACAATTTCTTAAAACCTCTAAAATATTTTTTTAATTTAGTGTTATAAATTTATAATCTAGTTAAGCGGCGCTCAAGCAAATTATTCAACTTTTTTTTTCGGTAACCCATGTGTTGCGACCAGTTAAGATGTATATCTATGATGCAAAAATTAACTGCCGGAAATTATTAGTTTTTATGGTAAAGCTTTACGAAGTTCACGATTTTCGGTGTTTTAAGTGCTTGTAAAAATTTTGTTTTTTTAAAAAGAAAATCACCATCATTATTTATTTTTGAATAGGTACCTAAAATATAAAAAATATTATATTATACATAGACTTCAGGGCCTGCGGGACATTGAATGTGTCCAGGGTCCCAAGAATCCTAATTGCGGCACTGGTAGGTACCATATATTAACTGTTAAGTAGATATTACATGTATTTTTACTGTTATTAATTATTATTATATTTTGTATTATTCGAAAGTAGAAAGTTATTAGTTATGAAAAATCGATTTTCTTTTATAAATAGTATGTTTATTATTATTTATATATTTTGTTTCTTAATAATTAATAAAAGAACTCTTTTATAGTGAAAATTGATCATCATATTACTTGACCAAGGAGAAACAAAGTACATTTATACGTATCTAATATCTATATATATATAATCGCACTCTATTGCGTGTTTAAATGTCACGTTTTTTATATAATATAATACTGTTTCATCTGGTATCCACTGTATGTACCTATCTTGTTTGATCGACGTGTGATATGTGTCGCCGGTGTAACGACTCAAGCAATAATAATAGTAATTATTATTTTTACTATGTACAATCTTCTAAAACCTAACCTCGTTTGGAACTGTCAAACCGACGACGACGTTTGTGTGTTTAGTTTTAGAACATAACAAATTTAATAATATAAACAATATTCTAGATGCAGTTCTTCGATTTATTTTAAAAAATAAACTTTTAGAAAACACAGAAAATTATATTTTTGTATTTAACCCATAGAGTAATGTAATCTATGATTTAACCAAGTCAGAATATTGATAATGGCTGATAAAAACTATAGTTTATCATATGATACAGTTTGTTCTATATTAGTTTGTCTATTGTTGTTATTTATATGGAGTGAGTGCAACATTTTTGGGTTATTACTTATTTCAATTTTTTTTTTTTATACATTGACAAGTGACTTTATTTGACAAAACATTTTTGACTTAACCTAACTGTTAAAGTGTATAATTCTAAAACTATATAAAAAAAATAAATGATCAACAAGTGGACAGCAGACCTTTACATTTACTAGATCACTATTACTTTTTACCAGGTATCTTTACATTTAATAACCTATTTATTTAGTTATTTAAACATAAGATATATAATATATAAAAATATATAAGTGTTATAAAATAAATTAATTATTAACCACCTAATTTAGTTATATATCCAGACTTTGTTGATGAAGTAGAGACACTAAGTTGTGACGAGTCTGATGATGATGATGATGATGATGTCTTATCCGACGGAGAAAATGAAGATGAATTGATTTAGAACCTCTGTTGTCTTGTCTAAAAATAATTGGTTTTCTGTTTCAAATATTTTTTTTGATTGTGTAATAAAAATGAATACTTGTAAATATTATATTAATAATAACATAGTTCCAGTAGAACAAAATCCTGAGACTTACACCATAATTCCAGGAGTTCAGGTTGGATCTCAAGTTTATGCGGACAACTTAAATTTTAAGTACTATAAAAAAAGTTCCGTACGAAACCGTTTGTAAGTCTATATACCTGATGAAAATTATGATTAGAAAAATAAAATTAATTATTACTAATACTACAAATGAAATAATCACCTTTATCTTTTATGTTCTTAAAGATATTTAATTTGTCACAGAAAAAATCATAATGATTGGCAATTTTGCCCTGCCACAGCTATTGTTAACTTAAACAATCCAGGTTACCTGTCATAAAACCGGAAGCATATCCATAGGCCTGAAACAATTAATAAGCCATTAGCATTCTTTAGAGAAGCAGTTTCTCAAAGCGTCCTTTCACCTGGAAATTTATCCTCTTCTATTAGACTAGTCTACAATCAGGAAATTGTCAAGTAAGTATAACCATGAAACAATAATACATTTCATTGCTCTTAAAAATTGAAATTGTAGTCACCCTGAAGAAGCAGAAAACTATACATGTCTTCAAACAGAAAATAGAGTTAAAAGACAGCGACGTTGTAGGCGACCCCCTCTTCCCAGCTCACTAGATCATTTAGTACAAATATTAAATGATCCCATCCACGAAAAGTACAGTCACACGGTTCGAAGACCTCCGACTAGGTAAAAAAAAAAATATATTAATAGTTTAATAATAAAAGCAAAAAGTTAATCATAGTATTCATAACAAATCAATCACTTACATGATGAAGTATACAGATATATTTTATAAAACGCAGATTTTTCCGAAGTGATTGGCCTTTGATAGTTGATGGCAACCAAGTAGGTGTTGTATTTGCCAATATGGAAACAATAGAGAGGTATCGAGCAGAATTGGGCACTGTTGTTGTAGCTGGAATTGATAGTACATTCAAAACAGTTCCTAAAAGTGCACCAGAACTTAGAAAGGGTGCTTTTGTCACATTCCAGATAGTGTATGGGAGTATAGTAAGTAGAATTTACTACAAATAATAATAATATTGTATTAAAATTAAGGTTTAAAAAGTTACTGACGTACAATTTTAATTTACGATAAAGTTTTTTTTTCTTGCAAGTCTTATTTTGAAACTTTTTTAGTACATATAAATATTGGCTCTAATCATAGTTTATCAAGTAAATGGTACACCTTGTACTTTGCAGTCAGTACCCAATGGTATATGCATTCCTCATTTCAATGAACCAAGAAAGCTACCAAGCACTTTTGAACGTAATCCGTAATTTGCTGCCATTAGTTTATGAACAACTGTGTATCATAACAGATTTTGAAATGCCATTGATGAATGCAGTTCAAACTGTAATGCCTATAACTAAATTGATGGGTTGTTGGTTTCATTTTTGCCAGGTAAGCATATATAAGTTAAAAGAGTACAAACTTTGCATGGCATTTTCAACACAATCTTCGAATGAATATGAATTTCATATCGCAGGCAGTCATAAGATACAGTAAGCAGAAATTGAACAGTGTGTAACATCTTTTTCAAAGTAGCCCTATTGCAGCCAGAGTTTTGAGAATGGTTGTATAAGTATTGTAGTAGTAGAGCATTATAGTAGTTTTCTTATATTTTATTTCACAATTTTAGGTATTAGCTCTACCACATTTGCCTGCACACAGAGGCCATCTGGATTGTCCTCAATATGATATTAATGATGGCTTCAGGGCTATCATTAATTATGTTCAACAGTTTCCTGATATTGAGGTGCATTTGAGAACATTCGTCATTGGATACGTTGAAAGATACTGGTTGTCTCAAATTGGACCAAGGATTTTGAGCATTTTTGGACGTGAATACAGGACCAATAATTATTTGGAATCGTTTCACTCCACTTTGTTGACACAAACGTCAATACACCCTAATATATGGGATTTTATCCGTGAGGTTTTTCCTATAAATATTATATTTCTATAATTCTAATATATAGGTTTCATTATAATTATAAAGGTGTATTAATTCTTCCTCTATATAATCAATATCTATCATTTGTGTTTAATCATTGGTATATTTTGCTTATTACAGAGAAATTGACACTGATTGAAAATCAATGTTTTGTAGAGCTACACCAAGCACAACAAAATTATACGGTACTTTATTCTAAATTTAGTATTTAATAAATATATATTGTAATATTAGTAATTATTATTTATAACTAATAAGTAATAACAATCCTAAGTAAATCATAGAATAGGTATAGTTTAATTTATGATTTAAATTGTAATTCTTATATAAACAAGAATGATTCATAAACAAGAAAATTTACAGATTAGAGATACCACTTCAAGACAGGAAAAGTTTATAAAAACTCAAATAATTCGTCAACAAATACAGACGTTGAATGTTGATGGGGATATATATACTTATGTTCCTCAGGAGGGCAGGCCATCATAATGATGGATATGTTCAAGGACAGATTGGTCCAATTCCTGTAAGATATTTAACTATGAATTTTGATAATATTTGACAAGTGAAGAGATAAAATAGTTTGTAGTTATTTTTTCTATTAACATTTTTACAGGATCACAACAGTTAACTATAAATCGCCTGCTTGAAAGACAGTTTGTTTGTGGCACAAACAAATGTTTTTTATAGACTACCTATGAGTATGAATATACTTAATATTTTGTGACAGTATGTGATAATCACAAACTTGTTTATACCTGTATGATTTTTTGTAATAGTGATTTATTATTTATTTATATTTATTGCTTGAATAACTATTTCCTTTTGATAGATTAACAATTTTAGATTCTAAGCAGAACGATGAATGTATTGATTTTAAAATGATATGTGTATTGTGTATAAAATTGTGATTTACATTTTATAATATACCTGCTATTATACTATGTTTTAACTGGAAATCTTGAAATGAAAAAAAAGATTTTAGATTGTTATTTGTCAATAATTGATTTATAATTATTATAATAACTTTATAAATATTTTATTTAATACCAAATACAAAGGTTTTATTTTAAAATTATGTTATAAAATTAATAAGTATACATAATATGAGAATACTATATAATATATGATATTATATATTTGGATAATATAATATTCAAATAGTAACCAAATTTAATTCACTAATATGTGAAAAAAACCATACCAGCCGCTCTTAACCTAAGTTTGTAATTTGTAACATTTAACCAAAAATCAAAACAATTATCTAATACTTTTAATTATAATTATAATTTTTTTTAACCATCAGAAATTTGCTTTCAATTATCGTTATTTACTATATATATTAATATATTAATGGTTTATTTAACTTGCCAGTAAATAAAAAGGTCCTCTGCTGTACAGTAGGTTACAAGTGGGTCACTGTATAATGGTTGGTATTAAATTTGAATTCAATGATATAATATCATTGCATAAGAAAAATGATTCTGAGCGGAGACAGCATGAGTCTACGGTCATTTGTTTTAAAGTTACACCAAAAACCAAATTCAATTTTGTGAAAAATTGATTTTGAGTAAAAATTCCCGTTTTTCCTTAACTTTTCTTTTGTTTTTCTTGGCGCTTTTGAAAATTACTGAGAATTTAAATTTTGACCTCCCCAATGCACCAACGATATTCACTTTCCAATCTAACAAGGAACTGAAGTTGAAAATCGAAGCATTATTTCGACTACTTATCGTGTACAAAATAACATAACATATTACCTGAGTTAGGGCAATATGTTATACAGTTTTTATACAACTTAATTAGTAATTAATTACAATAGGTATTTAATATTTTAATGTAATTAAAATGTATTTTTAAGCTACATTATTTAATTTAAGAAACCTTAATTTTTTCGTAAATTATTTTACATTTCTATATTAGAGGTACTTATCAATAGATATAAAGTTAATAAATAATCATGAGCTCAGAACTGTCGACTGATAAACAACTTACAGCTAGATATAGAACTTCAAATCTTACAACAACTTTGAAGATATCAATAAATTAGTAATGATTGTACATTTGTATCTACAGTATAATTACACAAAGAAATTTATATTTTATATGTTATTTACACTTCTTGTTCATCAAAATATATTAACATACTTATTTTTATTTAATACTATATAACATTGAATACATATAATTAATACAGTGTATTAGTTTAAACAAAATCTTGGTCACAAAATATTTAATTAAAAAAAAGATTAGAATCAAAATTAAGAATTAATGTTACCTTAGTTACATTTGAGTAGTTAGGGTAGTGATTTACAGTTTTTATATAACTCAATAAGTAATTAACTACGATATTTAAAATAGTGTAGAAACTATATTATAAATATTTAATTTCATATCAAACTATCAAAGATTTAAATAATTGGTAATTATAGTTATAATTTATAATAATATATTATAATTATAGCTAATATTTTAATATACAATAAAAATAATGGCAAAAAATAAAATTAATGAAAAACAAATCTATTTTGTATAACTTGTCACCCTAAACATTATACAATATTTAATCATCATGATGTTCTCTTAACCTGGAAGTAAAATCAATACCTGCAAAATAACAAAATAAATAAGTATATATACCGGGGTGGGCAAAAGTCACGCAACCGATTTGTAAAAAATGACGCAAAATATAAAAGGTTGTTTAACTGTATTATATAAACAAAAACAAATATATAGAGCTTAATTTATACTATATTTTTAATTTATACATGTTGTATGTTCAATATGACCACCGTCTTCATCAATACACTCTAAACAACGCTTTCGTACCGTTTGGCAGATGCGTTCTAGAAGAGCTTTGTCGTCACTGATCACATCAAGTTCTTCCGTGATGACTGCTTTCAAAATTTCGATGGAACGTGGCCGACGGGCGAATACTCTGTCCTTCAGTATGCCCCACAAGGCAAAATCACAGGGTGTAAAATCCGGCGATCGTGGTGGCCAGTCAACTATTCCGCGGCGTCCGATCCATCCCGGAAAGTTTTCATTGAGAAACGTGGCGCAGGTGCGCCAGCCTGTTGCAATGTCATTTGATGACCGGCAAACACTGGACTTTCTGCAAGTTCAATTTTAAGATTTTGCAGCATGTCTAAGTGCGTCGTACCATTTACTTTTTCGTTTTCAAAAAAATACGGCCCAACGATCGTGTGGGCGCAAATTCCAGCCCAAACCATGATTCCCGGGACATTTAGTTCTTGTTGTAGAACTAAATTCGGGTTCTCAAACGCCCAGTAAACGCAATTATGTCGGTTTATACTCCCGTTTAGTTTAAAAATAGCTTCGTCGCTCCAAAGCACAGTACGAAAAAATTCTGGATCAGCTTCAGAACTTGATGTGATCAGTGACGACAAAGCTCTTCTAGAACGCATCTGCCAAACGGTCCGAAGGCGTTGTTTAGAGTGTATTGATGAAGACGGTGGTCATATTGAACATACAACATGTATAAATTAAAATTATAGTATAAATTAAGCTCTATATATTTGTTTTTGTTTATATAATAAAGTTAAACAACCTTTTATATTTTGCGTCATTTTTTACAAATCGGTTGCGTGACTTTTGCCCACCCCGGTATATATATATATATTTAATCTTATGAATACTAAATAAAAAATAATATTATAACAATCTTTTTTAGATTTAAACATGCAGGTAATATCAATATTATAAATTTTATATATTTTGAAAAATATGTGTTTGTATTCTAGTATTCATTCAAATAAAAATGTCAGTCCCTAAAATGGAAAGTGAAATATATTATTATTATAAGTGAGATTTAAGTACTTTTTAAGTTAGCAATAATATATTTTATATTTTACTTATATTTACTAAGGTTACCAGAAGGCATGTTATTGTTATTTACAAACTACTGTAGAAATTAATTATACTAAATAATAATTTTGGAATTATGTTTAATGCTTATGTATTAAGGTGGTCCTTATTTTTTAAGTTTCATCATAATATTCAAACAACATAATATATATGTTTACTATTTTGTTTATTATTGGCATCTACTTTATGTATATTTTCTATTATTACATTACTATTTACCATCCATACCTTAATGTTGTTACCTACTTTAAAATATTTGTACGATTAATGTGGTTTCGATGTTTCAAATAGGTCAACGATTGTGGATTAAATTGCCCAAGCAATCTCTACACAAGCATTTATGTCCACAGGGAATGCATGCGTAGCTGTTTACATTACTTAAACAAATAACGCAGCAATCGGCTGGTCTTGGTTGAACTTCATTGATATCGAGAGGAACATGAGCGATATTTTCCCTGTTTTGAGCCCACCTCCGTTCCTCAATTTCCGCAATGGCATGAACACCGGATCATCATCCTCTGCCAATACAAAATCAGGTTCATCTAGATTATAACAAAATACAGGTTCTTAAAAAATAAGTAAGCAAATAACATTTAAATTAATTATTATGGTATGGTTACCGTTAAAAATGGAATTTTGAAATTCTATTTGTAAGTCTAAAATGTTACTAATTATCTTAATAATCTCATATGTACTACATATTTAAATAGTTTTAATTATTAAACAAATTTTAAAAATAAAATGATAGGTAAGTAAAACTAATTCTTTTAGAATAACTTCCATCCACTGATTTCTAAAATATGTAATGTATCTTTCAGCAACCTCAATATTTGGAGAAAGCCTCGCCTCGTAGACCACCACTTCAAAGCCTTCAATTATCATGTTTGCTGGATTAATATTGTGACATTTTTTGAGGAAATCTTATTTGGGCCATATGGAACCAGCATTTCTGCAATCTGACTCCGGGAAAAACGTTGGCCAACGTGTTGCTCAACCCTATTTCATAGCCAGTGAGAATGTTACTTGCACTAATACCTGCAACACAAGTCTTAATAGGGTCCAATACACTTGGGTATGCCATTTCAGTTTGGCGGGTCATTAATGGGTATGCAACGGGAAATGCCTGTTAAAATATATAAAATAGTTAAGTATATAGTTTATAAAAATTGGTATAATGTATTAAAATATAGCATTAGGTATGTATTAACGTTTAAACAAAACGCCATGTACATGGCCATAATTATCAACAGTTCTGTTAGTGGAACAAGGGCCTGCTTTTAAACGTGGCATTTATATAAAGTTCTTGAGCAGAAGTCAATAGGCTATAAATTGTTTAAATTAAGATACATGTTGAATATACCAAGGAGTAGATTTATATTCTAACATTATGTTCTTGACATTTAAAATTAATTACTTTTCCAGGGATGGAGATATAAAAACAACTGCTGATCCAGCGTCAGGAGGACCCATGACGAATCCTCTTGCTCGTCCATTAGCAGTTCTGAATAGATGAACGTAGCGAGCATCTACCAGATGACCTGCGTATTCCATAATCCATCAGATCACCTGGTATTTTTGATTGCGCTGCAGCTCTAGTCCTTTCCATGGTTCTCAAAAGAGAAGTATACTCTAGGCGATCTTCTAACCCTTGTGTTCTAAACAGTTGATGCGTAAGATAAAAAAACAATAAATATGTGCAACATTTTTTTTAAAAGTAAAAAGTAATACTTCTGCCACTTCATAATTGTCTAATGAAAAGACAAAATTACTACCTACCTTGATGTCCCTTCTTCATAAATTACTCGAAGTGGAGTACATTCTTCCACACACCTTCGTAAAATATTCTGCTTTAAATTCACTAGGGCTAAATAGTTCATATCAGGACCATGTATAGTGTGAGTACGTTTCTCATACAATAAATTTTCCACAATGAGACCTTTAAGAAATTGGTAGTACAACTATTTGTAAGTCAATGTGCAAAACTTTTCTACAAAAATGATCATATTTATTACATAAGAAATCTATTTCAATAATTAAAATTGGTGAGTGTATTTACTATTTATATTGGGTGCCTGTAGACTCTTTCATATTTTCAAATTATATTTATTAAAACCAACTATTTAATGTGAATTAAAATATTTAAAAAAAATATAACATTACAATTATAATATAGGTAGTACTAAAAATTCCTAGTGTATTTTTCAACTCCTAACCTAACCTATCTACTGCACTACAGTCCTTTTAAAATAACAAAATAATATGCTAAATACTCATAGGCGTAAATAGTGTTTGAAATTTGGGGTGGCCGTAGATCAGGTCTCTACTTTATACTCTTATGATACTTTTAAATTATAGTAGTGAAATCATTAGTTTTTGGGGGTCTATAGAAATTTCAAGGGAGCAAAGCACCCCCAGTAGCCCCCCACCTATTTACGCCTATGTAAAACCTCCTAACTCAAGTTGTGAACTTAATTTTGTCCTAGTTCATTAAGACAATTATCAGTTGCAGGACAGTCTGTTGTAAAACATATTAACAATGTCGAATTGGTCCTAGTACATTTAACTTTGTACAAATATCCATTGTTAAAGTGGACAATTTTACTATTTGATCTGAAGCCTTAGTGGCAGCTTTGTTATTATTATATTAGCTATAAAAACTTTTTTTTAATTGTACTGCTAGGTTGTTTAAGGTAAATTTAAATATTATAATAATAATTTTTTTAAATTTTACACAAATTTTTTTTTTTATTCATGATATAGTTTCAACTACTAAGGTTCATACAGTTCATAGCTTAAAAAAACAATTATTATGTATGTACATTGTATAGAATGTGTAAATGCATATAATACCTATAAGGCTATAGTGCTTAAATTAAATAATAGATGCATGTTATTTTTTTTAGAAAAAAAATCTTAAAAAATATTCCATTACAATTATATAAAAATACTAAATATAGTGAATTTTTCATTTCCAGAAAATGAAACAGATTTCTTTCACATTACTGTCCTTTTAAAAATTCTAAGGAATTTACTTACTCCTACAATCTACTAACTCAAGAAATAAACTTCGATAATTTATTACCTATCTAATTCACTAAAAAAATGTATTAAATATAATAAAATGTAGATACCTACCGGTTGCCGAACAGTCTATTTGTATACATTGCAATGATTTAGAATTTGTTCTTGTACATTTAATTTTGTAAAAACACCCATTGTCACAATGTACAATTTTACTGTTTGATATGTAGCCTTCAGTCGTGACGAATTCCATTATTTAAATATTAGTAGCTTATTTTCAAATATTGTAGGGAATGGAGAGAAAACAAGAATAAAAGTGAAAAGGTCAATTCGGTTAAAACCTTAGAACACATAATACATAAACCATAAACGTGAAATCATGATAAAGAAAAGAGGTATGTCAGCAACTTTCCGAATTTGAATGATGTTGGCGCATCCCCACTATTTCCTATGTGTTTCCTATGGCGTTGGCAGCCACATTGCTTTTCTCCGTCAATTTTATTATCAGCGTCTATGTTTTAAACTTTGCGGAGAAAAGCAATATGGCGGATATGCTTATCACAAAGTTGCTGACATACCTATTTTCTTTATCATGCGTGAAATTATTGATGTAGATCTCAATTTATTGCAAAGCGCCTTGGTAAATTATATTTTTATATATTATACAGTGGAACCTCTATAAGTGGAATTTTCGATAAATCCAAGGAATCCCATGGTCCCTGCATTTCCATGTACCTCCCTATTACAATACGTGTGATTAATTTACTCGATAATTTAAATTAGAATTTCTCGATAAGTCTAAGTCCTTTGAGTTGAATTTTGGCTCATAAGTTGAATTGTTTGATATACTGAAATAGATTATGTTATTTAGGTCATATGTATGTTTATTTTATGTACATACCTACTTATTATAATAATGATATTAGTAATAGGAAACCGATTAATATTTTACCAATCTTTACATAATACTTAAGAGACCGGATATATGGGTGTTATAAATTCGATTGAATTTAATTGAACACTTTAAAGCTATCACTATTTCTAAATTAAGAAAATATAAATATAAATTTGTTTCGAACGAAAATAATATGTACTGAAAATAATATGTTTGTTAGACGTATAATATATGGTATAGAATAACAAATTGATATAAATATAAAATAAATCCTTTATTGTTAAATATTTTTAAATCATTAATTTAATGTATAATATACTATACCAATATTTTATTCAAACAAATAATTTATTGATACAATAATAAATAACAAATAAATAAATATATTTTAAACAAGAATTCAAATTTTGGTGGGATTTTGGCATGTAGGTATTTTACATTTAGACGTACTCAAAATGACGGATAATACAAGATAGACTGTATGCAACTACAGTATGAACAACTTGTATGAAAGACCTTGAAGAACTGAGGACGGTATAACCAAGATGGTTACCAAATAATTTTAATAAATTTTCATTTTTTTCTCCAATTATTTCAAAAAGCACTGAGCATTTTAAATTTCAACCTCCTAAAAGTACCAACTATATCCAATTTGCTTCCAAAAACATACATCGGGCATCGAAGTTTATGATCAGAGCATTTTTTCTACAAGAAAAGTTGAAAAGTTAAAAACATTTTAAAATACCTCAAATAAACGTCTGAAATTATTGGACTAGACAAAATAAAAATAAAATTGTAATTCATTTTCAAGCGCCCCCATTGAAAAATCTTGCCCACGCCTATCACATAGACATATTAACTATCGACTATGAATAGCTAACTAAGCCCCTAAAGCTTTTTAAACGAAAAAGTATTACTTAAATCACTTTAGATCTACCTTAAGAGAGAAAAAAAATTCTTCGAGATTTTTAAATTCCGATGATGGCGCTTATCTAAATTATTTTGAATGTATTTAAAAACGTTCTTAATCTGTGATTAAACCTTAATAATAATCGACAAACCGATGAATATTGTGTTATTCTAACACAGTTTTATGCATAATAACATAATTGCAGAGTATAATAGATAACTGTACAGGCGCGGATCCAGAACAGATTTATGGGGGGGGCCATCAAATATTATTAATAAAGTTAATCAGGGTTTAATATGTTAATATTGTTCGACATCAGGATAATGATGATTAGGTTACCTTTAAAAAGACCAAAAATAATTAAACACAAATTTTTTTTTTTAAATATTTAGGTTACTCAATCTTACTTTATTGGTTATAAAATATTTAATTACATTACTTTTTCTACATTTAAGCTAAATTTTACTATAGTTAATAATTTACGATAAATTCTAATCAAATGTACAACTTAAAATCAGCTTAATTTTCTTATGACTTATGGTTTTCAAATTGCAAATGGAATTTTTCTTTTGCTTTTGGAGAAACGTTCAATTAATTTTTCAACATCGATGTCTATGTCCCTTGGGATGTTCAATAATGCAAGTCCAGTCAAGCGTGTTTCACACATTGTTGATCTTAACGTTCTTTCTGTATTGTTTTACTAATGTTGGTGCCTTCGAAGAAGAATTTTTCAGATGATTTCAAGCGTAGAATCTCCGGCTTTGACTCGAAATTTTTAAAAGCTCTCTAAAATTACCTCGTTTATTGAACTTCCTCCATCTTCAATGGTAGACGGTAAATCTAGTCTGGCCATCAATCTCTATGCCCTCGAAGGGGATGTTTTGTCTTCCCAAAAATATTATACTTTCTATGATTGGAATAAGTCTTTCTTGATTTTCTTTTATTTCTTGCATTCGTTTCGTATTTAATAAACTGTGTATTTGAAGTTGGGATTATTGTTAATTTTGTAAAAAAAGTTCAGCCATTTGGACAGACTCATTGTGATATCTAGTGATTTCATGTCCATGTAAATCCCCTGTATTTCCTTGTAATTTTGCAAACTTTGTCAATGGTTGAGTAACTAATTTTTTTAATTCTACATTACGTTGAAAACCACCTTGTTTTTGTACATTAAACAAAGGACAATATTTGCAATATAAACCTTGTTTTGATGGTGAAAATACTAACCATTTAAAATTATTTAAATGTTGTTGCCCAATAAATCGACGTATTATTTTACCATTTGTATTATGCTCAGAGAAAGGAAATACGTAGTTTGTCGGTGGTACCCAATGATTTATTAAAAGTTCACGCTTCGTATAATCGTCAATATTTTTTTCAATATAAATCGTTTTATCGCAGTGCGTTGAACGCTGTCCGCATCCCGTAGAAAAATGATAATGTTATATAATATTCAATATTGTAGCAATAGAATTAATGGTAAATGTAAATATGTAATATCTGCGATTATGACGATAACGTGAACGGTCACGGCATCGTTAGCCTACGCCACGCCGGTCGCCGACGCAATTAAAAATTACAGAAAATTCTATAAATAGAATTGTCCGAAAACCAATATCAATTTTACGAAACATTATAATCTAATATAGAAATATATTTTAATAAGAATAATTCGATCTATTCTATTATCAATGTTATTATTTTTTTCACCGGCCTCATCTTTTTTTTAGATTTGGGGGGGGCCATTGCTCCCATGGCCCCCCCCTTGTATCCGCGCCTGTAACTGTAACATATTAGATATTCAAACTACGTTTTTAACTATTGTCGGTTGACGGTTCGAAGAGATCGATTTCATTATAAGTACGCGTAAAAGACCCAGAACAAATTAAGATCATACTTCACAGGATCATTTCTGTAGTATGCATCGTCCCCTCCAGGTGCAAATCTGGAGTCGTCATTAGCCACGATGATGAGACTAGTCTATCTACTTGAGCGTGAGATCGCTGGTCATCTGTCGCTCCGCGATAACGATGACCCAGCAACGATGATCGCTTACGGTTCGCCGGTTGGTAGGTGGACAGCCTGAGTGGTCCAATTTAATGGAATTTAAATTTTTTTTGTCATCAATTTGTTAATGGTTAATGTCAGTCCGTATGCCTTTAAATCTTTTATCTGACTATAGCGCGACGTTAAGTACAACCAAATACCAATATGTATATTACTATTATTATTGTGTAACATAGCGATGGCTGATATCATTGTAGTAATATTTAGCTATATATTATTAATTTATTTTATGTGGTATTTACATAATTTATATAATTAATAATTATCATAATTTCAAGTTACTAAAACTAAAATACTTTTATATGAACTTTTCTATACTTTTACTTAGTACTTAGTTCATTGTTGGTTTCTATAGGAGATAGTTACTCTACTTAGGGCTGATTTCACCAACATGGTTAAACTTCGATTACTCTTAATCGGCTGATAACAGATATTTAACCTGGCAAATTCGGCCGATTAAACTCCGGTAGTCTTTAGTAGTGATTAACTGTGTTGGTTAAATCAGCCCTTAATACTTTACTAATTTTATAAATCCCAATAATTGCTTGTGAAAAAGGGATCAAAAAACTTTTTAAGACAAGATTCCTCATTAGTTACTATAATAGCGATTTAAAAATATAAAAAACATATTATGCACGTTTTTTTTTTTATAAGCGTTTAGTTGAAGTTTGACTAAATTAGTCAATATCACGAATATTTGTAAATTATTTTGGATAAAATGTTCAATTTTAATAACTAAGGATAGAAAATTTGAAAACAGTGTTATTGTTTGGTGATCTGATTAGGTAACTTATTAATTGATATGTGAAGAGTTTTGTAAGTAACATACCTACCAGGGAGATTTTGTCGGAGGTGTTTTGGTTTGTGCACAGCCACTTTCTCTCAGCGCACAGACTCAATAGTCAATGGAGTATACTTGAGATCATAGGCGTGTCTACAGCCTACAGGACATTATCAATTGCAGTGCATAATATAAACTTTTTTTTCTAAGTTTCTGATTTCGTATTAAGTTTTTTGATTTTCATCAGGTAAAAATGAACATTTGTAAGAAGTATTATCAGATAATAAAGCTTATTTCGAAATTCGGGGGTCATATTCCCAAACCTTGGTCTAATTTTTTTTTTGTGGGGGGGGGGTGCTTTGCAGTAACTCCTCCCTTGAATACGCCACTGTTGTGCACGACCTGCGGATGAGGTCTGGACACGCCTATGCTTGAGATGAGACAATATTATGGACAATACACTGTAGTATAATGTACCTATTTTGCCTATACACAATACTCCGCCGGACGAAACATGTTTGCGAAAAGTATGTAAAACAATTTATTTATAAACTCATGACTCATCTGTCATCATCAGTATTTAAGACGATTTTTAGAGTAGTCTATAACCTAGAATGATAGCCGATAGGCGATAAGTACTACATATTAATAATTAAATATTTTCTTAGATTTTTAATTATATAATACCATAAAAATAAACCATTTTCAATAGGCAGGTACTTCAATGAATTGGTTGTTATCAAGACTCACTGTAACTTGTAAGAACTTTAAAGCTCTAGGAGTCACCACAGGTATTTGCGTTTTATAGTTAAAAATGAATTAATAATTTTAAATGTATGTTGTATTGGAAGTCAGCTGAGACTGCAGTATATTTCGAATGTCGAACAAAATAATTAAATACAATAAAATATTTATACAACACGTCATACCTAACCCTGTATATATGAATGCATATGATATAAAATTACACATTATTCAACAATTTCGAACATAAACTTAATATGAGGTACATTTTTTGAATTTTCACCGATCTTCTCATAAATATTTATAGTTGTAAAGTGATCACAGTACAACGTCCAAAAATGTTACATTATTATTATAATTATATGTTTACATTTTATTCGAAACATTTAAGGTCAACGAACCGAGCTAATGGCATATATTAAACGACGATAGTGATGGTATACACAATACACATAACGTTCAATCATGATGTTTTAAATACATTTTTAATAATACCTATATATTATTAATTAGGTTAGGTGTATCATATAGATTAAATAATTCGTAGTTTAAATTTGGATGAATTATTGCAGATTTGGAATTTCTATATAAGATTCTATAAAGAGTTCTAAAATATAATATATTATAACTTATCCATACCCAGTATAAATAATAAATCAATCGATTTATCATATTATAATATATCTATCATCTATGGCAAACAGTGGTGGATCCAGGGGGAGGGCAAAGGGGGCATTTGCCTCCCCCCAATCACCGTAGTTTTCCTTTGTTTTACACTGTGTTTAGCCAATTTTGGAACTTTTTGTACTTTCCCCCCACATGCCCCTCCCAAAATGAAGCCCTGGTTCCGCCCCTGATGGCAAACGACAATCCTCGCCATTCGTCTGAGACAATTAACGATTCTAATAATATTTCAATGAACAAAAACTGAGGTGGTCTACAGCTGCCACTCTATAGGTAGGTACATCATATTTTATGGTACAGCTATAGGCTTCACCGGTGTAGTCGATATATCGTACGTAAGTTAGTTTTCATATTCTTTTGGGGATTAATTTACTATTTAGACATAAAATAAATATTTATTGCCATGGACAAACTGCTCGGGTGATGTATACTCATATTTTATTCCCGTATTCATAAAATACGCTTACCCAAACCACATAAACGTCGTTGTCGTTTCTCATTTTCCCAAATTGTACACTAATAATAATAATATATTTTATATATTCATATTATAACATTGATTAAATAATTATTATAAGCATATTTAATCAATATATTTACAATATCTAATATAGGTATAAACCGTGAAGATATTTTTGTCTTTTAAATAGTATTATACATAACAGGCGGTATAACAATATACACTGGTGCGGCGATCTTATATGTCCCACAAAATTCAACATTTTTATTATTTTTATTAATACGTATAATAATAGTTACGTACAAGCGTAGCTAATATATGCTTTCATACTGTAACCAAAAATCTGAAAAATATATAAATACAGTTTTTTTTATAGGTACCTACATAGATTTTAAGTTCAAATATGGACGAAATATTATTTATTTAATATTTAAATATTATGTTTAATTGTTGAAAGATTATTATTATTATTATACTTCTTAATTAATAATTACTATATTATAATTTACATTTCAAAGATACTTTCAAAATATTTGGTTTAATATAGTGAACAACAATATTATAAAATTTATTATACCTAAATTCTAAATAATAAATAAAATTCATAAGAACATTAATAATATAAAAATAAAATAATTGAATATAGGCATAATCGTATCAATATTCAATAATAAGGGTAATGATGCGTCTTATAAAACTTACTATAAATTAACTACCTATATAGGCTTCACTTAAGCCGCTATAATATACAAAAATACATGTTTAGGAAAATTATAGAAAAATATTCCATGATATTCGGCTTGTACCTACATTACATTGTGACGTTGTGTGTCATTACCACGGTTATCTACTATAGATCGTGGTTATTACTCATTAATCATTAGTCATTAGTCATTATATACATTTATACTCATTATTACACATTTAGACAACGAAGCAACACGCCAACACAACACATAATAATACATTAATACAATTAAAATAACAAGTCAAAAACCAGTTTATGAACAAAATGTCATGTTGTTACTTTTAAGTCATTACAGCAGATCGCAGATCTAGTATGACGTATTGAAGTATCTAATAATGTAAGATCGTGTCTAGTGGCACCGTGTGCATCGGTGGCCGGTGCCAAAACCACCCGATTTACATAATATGTATATATATATATTGTTTTCTATAATCATAGATCACTGATAATTTTATGATAATATTCAAAATAATGCATTGTCTATGCAAATAATATTAATAATACAACCAATCGGCTACCGTATATTAATTACAACATAGTTACCTAATAAATATAATATAAAATATCCTAGGCCGACAGACCGTCTAAACTCAGAATCGTTTTTCGTTTTTCGTGAATTCAAATTGAACACCATCCATTACAGTGATCCACTTTTAACCTACTTTTAGCCCACCTTTTTTTAAAACTTTAATTATATTAAAAGATAACATAATTTATTATATGAACAGTATATATATTGAGATTTTAATATTAGTAACAAATTTTCCGAGTATTTACATCCATGTTTGAGTAATACACTGGTACCTCGAATTATAGTTTATATTATTCAGATTTCAGACGATGTGTCTATGTCACAAGAATCATTATAAATAATATTTTAAAATGCATTAAGTTTATTGTGTGTGAAAGAAATTCGTTTAAATGGATTCAAGACAATTTTTGCCAATATGCCCCATTGGCCCCTCCTTAGATCGGCCACTGATTATTATACGTAGTCACTAGTCTTAGGGCCGATTTCACCAACACAGTTAATCACATCATCAAGAACATCAAATTTTAATGTTTGTATATTTTTCATATATTATTTGCATTATTGCACAGTAGTTCAAAAGAATATTTTTTTAATCAAAAATTAAAAAATTTCGATTTTTAGGTCATCACTCATCAGTTACGTTAAAATTCATAAAATTTAAGGTCACATGAAACAATGCCTTACTACTGAGGAAGTGGGTTTTTATAATTACCTATATAATTATTATATTTTTTTATATTTAGGTACCTACTTCAATTGTTATTAGGCACCAAGTTGTTTTAATTTAATTTTAAGTTAAATTGTTTATTAAAAAAGTTTTTATTTTATTTTATCAAGGACAATCCTAAATCATGGTTTTATGTACCTACCTAATTAATTTTTTAAAAGTTGAATTTTTTTTTTATTTACTTTAGATATTTTTAAAACAAATAATATATGGTTTTAACTTTTAAGTCACCACTCACCATTAATAAGTATTTTACTTGAAATAACAGTATTTTATTTTTTTACCCATAAATTTATGGACTTTACATTTTTTATAAAGTATTAAGTGGTTCTAAGGCTTTACGTGAGGACAAATAATTTTTTTGCAGATATCTGCGATTATTTTAGATCAGAATAAGAAAAATAATGTTAAAATCGTTTCAAGTCCCCCAAATAGACGGTATCGGGTATAGTAATATAGTATTCAATGCCATATACGATTATATTATTACGATGATATTTAGTCAAGCAGCAGCTGTAGCTGGAGTTATCACGTGCCATGAATCATGATAAGAAATTAAACAATTGTATAACTGTGCCTGTATCTCGTACAGTCGTACTGTTCTTCTCAGTTCTTCCACTATTCTGTGGTTTATATAACATAAACTGCTGCCGATAATACTGTTTGTTTTGTCAATATTTTTCATCCTGTTTACACAATAACGTAAACGTAAAATAAACGTTTTTTTCCATTGTTGACATCGCTGAAGTTGACTTCACTTTACTACTTTAGTCACTAGGTACCCTACTATCCTGGACGACACTAATACGTGAAACTGACGGATTATGTCGACATATTAATATTGACATCTGTTATCGTCGGTCGTGGCCCGTGGGTAAGTAGCAAGAACTTGTATTGTTCTATAACATATGTATGTACACAACAACTTCCACTACAACAGTTGTAGGTAATAATTAATAATAGGTACACGTAAACGCACTGCCTACCAACTACTGTTGCGACATAATCGCGTTAAACCACTTGTTGATCCGTTTTAACATCCATTATAGCTTATATTCTATATTTCTATAGGGTGTACGACTGTACGAGTAATGAAACACGCGCAAAACCATCACGCCGACACAATGTAAAACGTACTCATACAGTCATAATTCTTTTCATCGTTTTGATAGTGTAGAGTGTAATGGCCACAATATTATTATTGTAACGATGTGATTTATTGGTTTCTACTACGTATTAAAAATAATAGGTCAACTTTGATAATAATACCCACGCATTTATTTCTCGATTAATCTTTGTCATAAATAATTGAAATATTGTATTTCACGTCACCTCGCGTCATTATTATTCCATTATATTATATTATGATAGATACAATAATTTTGTTAGTGATTGACCAGACGTGTTGAGAGTTGTTTGAATTAACTAAATTTTGTATTTTGAATTTATTAATTAGATATCTTTGATTTTAATTACTTTATAGTTGATTAAAATGGCGGAATACGCAGAGTACCGTCAAAATAACATGGATAATGTTTTAAATTATAACTACGGTGTCGAGTTATTCCCTGGTTCCAGTCATAACCCAGTCATCAAAAAAAATACTCGAGAAGAAGCTTTGATTAAATTAAAAAAGTTGTTGAGGATTAATGGATTTGCTTTTCTAGCCGGTAAGCTGTAATATGCTTTTGTAAATTACCAATTAGGTATTTTACTATACAAATTAATGTAATTCAATACCAAATATTTTTTTTTAATCTTAGTTATTAAATGTTCACTTATACTTACTGTTTACTTATAACTTATAATCTTATAATAATTATTTGTTTATTAAACAAGACAATTATTTTCTTGTATTTCAAATCATAGTAGGTACTTGCCACTTGACTTAAATTATTACAATTTGAAATAACCTATTAAGACCATTCATAATTGAACACTTTATTTAACAAGTGTTATGTATTACAGGTAAACAACCATAGTACACTTATTAAAATGTCCTAATTAGGAATTATACTTATCTATAATCTAACCGAACTGTTTATAGTAAGGTAGTAGTATTCATAAATTACTGATAATTGTCTTACTTTTGTAATTCATGGTAATTCATTACTATTATTTTAAGAAATTTCTAATTATTGAACATCTCATCAATGAAATTCAGTTGTTCTAATCTTACCATTTAAATTATGCACACTTTACATTGTAAACTCAATATATAGTGTAATCAGACATTTCAAACCCATAGTATTAACTTGGCCAAATATATTGAATAGTTTACTATGCCGCACATACAAATATAATATCTGAAAAACACATTTTAGACACATTTTATTCATTATTTACAATACTATACAATACTTATTCAATTATCAGAATATAAGACAGAAAAGTAACATATGTTTACCTCTCACTTATATAGTTGCCCCACAAAAGGAAAAATGTATATACATATATTTTTTTTCAATTAATTGTTCATTAATATTAGTATCCATGGGCCATAAAAAACAATATTTTGAGGGCCGCACGCAAGCCATGTGTGTGACATGCCTTGTGTATAGGTACTGTATAATAACCACCCGGGGTTAACAACTAGAAGTCGCCTTGTAAGGTGCACAGAAAAGTTGCTAGATAGTAAATTATATAAGTATTTATAACTTATAAGCTCAATATATTGAAACATAATTATTTTAATTTAGTTTAAACTTTAAAAAAAATAAATTAAGAACATTTCATAGAACATCCTACTTTGCTAAAATAATGAGTTCCTGGACCATTAAGGGTGGCGGTCAGGTAACCCCTGTCCATCATCACCACCATGTCTATCATAATACCACCTTAATGCCTACTATTATGTTAGAAGACTTTCGTGCTTACATGCATACAAGTCTGCTGCCGAGCATGTTTCTAAACTTGAATAGGGTACTTTAAGTTTTGTAGAAAATGTGTGTGCTTCCATAGAAGTCTAAAATTAATAGGAATTCAAGGTTTATTAAAATATCAAATATATTTTACACAAAATAAATATTATTCATTATTGATGTAAAATTAAACTTATATTAACATAATTTAAGTTTGTAGCTTATAAATATTAATTTTTATATTTATATTAAATGCCTATCAAAGTTTATTAATGTTTAATGTTTAAAATAATTATTATGCTTTTATGGGTCAAATATGTTATCATTGGAATCATTATGATTCACATAATAATTGTATTATTAATAACATAATGTGTTATAATATATTATATTTAATAGGTATATTTCAATTGTATGCTTAAAAATATCTTATCATATAATATATCAATTACTTACTGATAATTATTAATTAATTAATTTATAAATATCTATTGGTCTAAAAATTAATTGATTTATATAATATTTTATCAGTATTTGTAATTGTAATTTTTATAGTTTGAATAAACACAAGTATTGAAGTGTACAGTATACATCACAGAATACATTTCTATATAATTATTTTTAAATTTAAGTAATGTTGACTTGTTTGACTTGTATTATTAAACAATTCCCCTAAGCTGAATTTATCTTAGTTTTCATTGTTCATAATTATTTTTAAATTATTCACTAAATCACTTTTCAAATGTTGAAACTGAAAAAAATAGTTAACATTTAAAATGTTTATACATAATTGATTACTAAAATTATAAATTCATAGTTTATAGATTTCAGGAAAGTAGGTCATCATTAGTTATATTGATATTCACTTAATACTATTCATATAATAATATTCATTATTCATTCATATTTCATTTCATAATTAATACTAAAAATAAATACTTAAATTGTCTCAATTATGATTTTAAAAGCAATGGATAAAGAGATTTAATATTTATCAGTTATCACTTATGTAGCTTTTTGAACAAATTAAATATAGTAGAATCCGTTTGATTGGGACAACAGCTTAATGGTGACAACTTGACAGAGTCTGGTAGAGTCCAGAACGAAAGAGTATCTCATTTTACCTGATACTTCTTGATGTAGTAACATTTTAATTATTTTGTCTGATCAAATTCTATTACTATGATTTATAATTATTATCTTCAAAAATATAATACGTATGTTTTATGCAAATAAAAAAATGACTAATTATATGTTTGTTTCATGTATTATGTATACTTAGAAAATAATAAAGAAGCATTTATAATGATGTTCTTGTATGCACGGAAAATGAATGAGAATAATGCATTGGGTTTGATTCAAAATTATTATCAATTTAGAAGGGAACACGATCTGTGGTTTCGTCGATTGGAACCTTTTGATCCAAAAATTCAAATGGCTATTCAAGATGGTTTCCCTTCTGTACTGTCAAATCTGGATAGGTTAATATAATTAGTATATATATTTATTTATATTTTAATTAACTTTTTAGTAATAATTTAGATTATATTTATATTGTATTAAATATATTTTTCCTTTATAGGCGAAGCCGTCGTGTTCTTTTTATGGTTTGCTCCCAATGGAACACTGAACGTTACTGTTTACTGACTATATACAGAGCATTATTAGTATCTCTAGAACATTTGATCCAAGATGTGAATACTCAGTATAACGGTTTTGTATTTATTGTTGATTGGACCAATTTTACTGCTCGCCAGACAATGAACATCAGTCCGAGATTGTTACATGTAATGCTACAAGGATTACAAGATTGTTTTCCTGCAAAAATTAAAGCTGTTCATTTTATCAACCAACCGTGGTATATTGATGGCCTAATGTCCGTCGTTAAACCATTTTTAAAAGAGAAAACAAAAAATAAAGTAAGAATACTTAGGAGTTACTATTAGAATTAGAATTTTACATAATATATATTATACAGGATGATTCACCAACCATGTTCACCCCGCATTTATCCTTTTAATAATAAATTTATTCAAATTATGAATTTTGGAATTTCAAGTAAGGGTATGTTACTCATGCATTTGTTATCCACGTCTTACAAGCGTGCTGCATTAGAAAATTTCTGTTCACTACAGTTTTAGTAGTGTGATGTTAGTTTTGATATGAGAGTGAATTGAAATTTATTATCAAATCTTTTAGGTAAAAACATTATCTGTGCTTATGCATCAAATTTTATTCGATATTTTAATTTTCAAGCAAGATTTGAGCATTTTTATTTTTAATTTTTGCTTGAAAATTAAAATATGGAAAAAATTGCTAACGCTTAACCATAATGTTCTTACCCAAAAGTTTTATCATAGGTCAATTCACTCTAATATCAAAACTAACAGCATACTATTGAAACTAGTTGATAAAATGTTGTCATGTCATATGTGTGTAAGACAGAGAAAACAAATGCATAGATAAATTAATATATCCTATGGTGATGTAACCTTCTTTTTTGTTAGTTTTTCTGTAAACTATCAATCCGAAGGTTTTTTTTTAAAATGTTGGTGTATCTAAATCGAAATTTGAACAAGTAGTTTTTGACTTATTAAACCTTTTATACTAAGAATAATAGTCAGTCTAATAATGGTCTTACATCTAGTATAAAATATATGCAATATTTAATCTAATGCCTACTGCCTACTTGTTATGATCAGACAATAGTATTACAATAACTTTTTAATTTTCATATTATTTTATTTATTTATAATCATAAATTTGCCTCCATTTTAATAGTTTATAAATATATTTGACAAAAATAAGTTTATATACTTTACACGATACTCTTTAAATTTCATAATAATCTTAATATGTGACAAATAACCTTTAAAATATATACTTAAAAATTCTAAAAATCAGAATTTAAATAAAGTCATTATCAAAAGAAAATACTGTATTTCACCATGCTTGGTAAATCACTCTGTTTATCATATATATATTAATATTAATATATTATAGTACATAAATTAAATAATGTTTATTTGTGCTAATTAATTAATATTTATTGTTTTTTATTGTTTTATCCCACAGATAATTTTGCATGGTTTGAATTTGAATACCCTACATGAATACTTTCCAAGAGATATTCTTCCTTCAGAACTAGGTGGCGAACAACCTCCATATGATTCAAGGACTTGGTTAAAAAGTCTTTTGGGGTCTTCTTTGGGAGTTGATTTATAATTTTATTTATATCATTGAATTTAACGCACATTAATTTTCTTAGCAAGGACAGGTCTAAATATTTATAATTATAATATAATATATTAAACTTAATGTATTATATTATTATATTATAGAATCTAATACAGAATATTTTTGTTCTGTAACCACAAATTAATTATTTAAGTTTTTTTTGTTACTGCTGCACATACAATTTTAAATTTCATATTCTCTAATTTATTAATATTTAACATAGGTGGAGGTCTTATTGAATTTCAACTATGGAAATATTTATTAGATATTATTACTAAGTGATAAACTGATTTTAATACATCACAATATGTATTAGTGATTATAATTTTAACTGTTTTTTGTACAGACATTTTTATTTTAATTATAATTACATATGGCTGAAACTGTGATACATTTTACGTCTATTCCAACAGTATTTATTCCAATATAAGTTAATAATATAGTTATATTAATTAAATATGAGATGTCAGTATTAATACATTAGACAAATGGACCAACGGTGCTCTAAATTAGTTATTGTTAATGTTTTCAATAAACATTTTATTTTAATTTGTCATGCAATATATATATATATATATATATATATATATATATATATATATATTCATTTTACTCCTATATTGGTATATATATGTTATATGTATATTTTATATTTATATTTAAAAAAAAAAATAGTTTTTTTATATATCAAGAAAATATGTTTCATAAAAATGTATCCAACAATCAGTGGCGTTTCAAAGTAAAACATTTTATAGGACAATTCATTTTTTGAATGATCTACTACCCCTTGATTTCTTAATATAATACTTATTGTTGAATTTAACATTCTTATTAAATATCATATTCAAATGAAGTTAGTCTTGTACTACAATTTCTCACTAAATCCAGTAAGCCACCCACCTGCCCCTCTAAAATTATCGGGCAACTGTCCTTCAAAATCACGTTCTACACGCCACTGCCCACAATGTTACCTTTTTTTAAGGACTTTAGATTCCTACTTCCTAGTCTGTTAACATTTTGATTTTATTGCTTATAATCAAACAATGTTAAAATTTATTTTAAATTATAATTTTGCTACAGTTAGGCTACTTTTTATTGTTAATTATGACTAGAGCTTAGATGTTTTTGAGGGCTTATATTGTTATCATGACTAGAATTATATGAAAGAAGACGTAATTTCCCGATATTTAAATAAATTTATATACAATTGTATTTATATTATGCCAAGTAAGCTATTTAAATACATATTAATAGACAATAGTAAAATATATTATAATGAAATATATTTTGTTATTAATAATTCACTATCTTTTGCATATTTAACTAAATTTAAGGCATATAATTTCATATTTTTTGAATTTATTACATAAACTCTAAAGTCATAAACATTGTGTCATTAACATCGAAGCTCTAATTATGATTTAAATCTTAATATCATCTGTTTTTCTATATAATTTGTGTAAACTCATTTTATAAACATATTTATATATATTATATTTGTATGTGTTCGTATATAATTATGCATTTATATATTTTTATATTAATATTGTAAATACATATTTTCATTATTGCACAAAATATTGTAATTCAATTGTACCTCTGATCATTTTCTATTTGTTTAAACAAATTGTCTACCTAAAATATGTACCAATGGCTACCTTTATACAATAGACCGGAAAGTATTCATAATGTTTCATCCCACTGCTCATTTGTGTGTTTGCAATAGTTTGACGGCTCCCAAATTGTTGAGAAAAAATTTAAACAATACGGGTAATAGGTAATTATAATGACTTTAGTACTATACTCTGTTCAGCTAAAGTGTTCTTCTGCACGGCCCCATGCGGCACCCTGTCAAAGGTGAATGCCGGTTGATGCACAGAATCGTCGTGTTCTCTCGTTGCACTATAGAAATAAAACTTCAAATGGACGATTGTGATTCTTTTATCGTTCCCGTAATTGCTATAATGATTATAATTTTTAAATAATATTATATTATATCATATCTACATTAATTTTGATTTCTGATTCTTTGTCTCCTTTCATTAACTCCCTTAATATGCTGATACCTCCGGAAGCCGTGATGCACAGTTTACCGGTACCCCGCCCTCTTGTGGTCTTTTTTAATTTTGAGTGGGGCGTTTAATTTTATTAGATTTAAGAATTTAGTACCTAGTATCTACATGAAAATCTGGGGTTAGAGGAGGTGTGAGATTTTTGAAAATCTAAAAGGGGCTTTGAGTAAAAAAAGGTTGGAAATCACTGCTCTATAGTCTGCTATAGACCAAACTATAGATCATCATTAGTAAGTTGTTGAGTATAGGATTTTTGCCCTGTAAAAATCAACCAGGATAAAAAAAAAAGTATACCTTGATTTTATAATCGTCATTAATCTCGATCTGTTCTAAAGGTTCACGGCCGACTTTAAAGGGTGTGCCTTTTAAGTCTCGTAAAAGAACAGCCATATTACTACTATTTCAATTAAGCCAACTAAACCAAAGTTTAGTGACTGCAAAGTTGGTAGCATTTAAATTATGCGAACGCCACGACTACCGACTGCATCTCTGACAGTGTTATTGGACCCGGTCTAGCCATCATCGACATTCTAAATAAGGATTTAAAAAACATCGTCAGCACTCAGCCCGCTAATCACTACATTTTCACATACATTTTAGTAAAGATATAGTAGTTATTAGTAGTTATAAGGTAAGGTAGGTACTCGTTTCAAAATTAACACCGTTATAATAAAAACTTGACATTTATTGAATCACCAAATATTCACTATTATAATACCAATATAGCCTGTAGGTAGTTGAATATATTTTGTTAAATTTTTTTTTTTTATTATTAGAAATAAGCCGCAACAGCAGAGGTTGTTGACTACAAACATAAATATTTTTAACATAAGTATGAAGAATTAATAATTGTATATACCTACATAACATAATAATAGTAGTATAAAATAAAAAGATTGAAATATGTCTAGATTATATTAGTTGGTATAATTTAGTTAATTTTTAAAAATTAATTATTTTTTCTATGTTGATAGGCTGTGGACTTAGAGCTTCTTCCAGGTTATCTTCTATGTTGAGCTTGGATCTGATGACGGAGAATTTACGGCAGTGGCATGTTAGGTGTTCCACCGTGGAGGTTTCACCGCAAGTTTGGCATTGATCAGGTTCAGATCTGTTCATGAGGTGTTTATGAGTCACCCATGTGCATGTGACTTATCCGGAGCCTGTTTAGAATTAGTTCCTGGCGTCTTGGTAATGAGAAATATGGCCATGGGGAGACTGTGGGTTTTATTTTATTGAGCTTGGTGTGGAGTGTTGACCACAAGATCTGCCATTGAGTTAAAATGTGGTTGTCAATGATAGTTTTTAGATCCTGAAAAGTATAGGTGTGGATTTGGTAAGAGCGATGGGAGGTGATGGCTTCTTTGGCATATGTCTCAACCAATTCATTTCCCTGGATTCCGACATACCCAGCAGATAATGATGGTCTGTGCATTGGTTTTGAGAAGGTGTATCTGATTGTGGATTTTTCTAGATATACTGTTGGGTTGGTGTATATTTAGAATGCCGGCTAGGGTGCTGAGAGAGTCACTAAAGATTATGGCTTTATTTATTCTATTTTTATATATGATATCGAGAGCTTGGGAGATCGCAGTGGTTTCGGCTGTGCAGATTGAGCAGAAATCTGGTAGCTTGAACATTTGTTTTATTTCGTTGTATACCACTGCGGCTCCCACGCCCAAGTTTCTTTTAGAACCGTCTGTAGTTTTTCTGTAGTAAGTACACATACATCGTTACTTCAAACTATCTTAACTTTAGTAATTAAAAAACAAAATATTAGATAGGTATGCATAAATTTGTCATAGACAAAGGTCCGAAAGCCTCGGGCGGCTTTCATTTGGGCGAATGACCCAAAATAACATATTATATCGTTTGGGTGAATTTATACGTACTTATCATTTGGGAGAGTTATATATATTATATATATTTATGAAATTTATATAGACTATAATACATCATCCTTCCAATTTTAGAGACTTAGGACTCTCACTCTCTCAGTTAAGAGGACGTCACACCCACACGAGTATTACACACGTAGTGTGAGCCGTGAGGTAGTAGAATACTACCTACTCGCTATATTTTGGTTCTAGATTGAAAATACCTGTTTAAAATTGAATTTTGACAATATTTCTGAGGGCAAGTCGTTGCGTTTTTTTCCATTATATCCAATATGAAGTTCATTATATCCTTTGGAAATAAAAAAAAAATTCAACATTTTTTAAATACCTTTAAATTATTTTTTTAAAAAATGCAATGACTTGCCCTTGAAAATATTTCCACAATTTAATTTTATACCTAATAGGTATTTTTACTCTAGAATCAAAATTGAGCGAGTTATAATCGTAAACACGTTTTGTCTATGTCGTACGTGTGTAAGACGGAGACAACACCTGTGGGTGTGGACGTCTTCTTAACTGGTATGCTTAAAAATGTAGGTATTATATTATATTTATTATCTTAACAAAATTTTTATTAGTATGGTATCTCATACCCATATGTTCAATAAAATGTATTATATTCTCATATAAATTATCATAATATTATATTAAAAATGCTAACAAATTTTTTTTATTAGTGTATGGTATCTCATACTCATTTGTTTAATATAGTCCGGTTTGATATTCTTCCCATAATTTTAATGTATAGTCTTGTTTTTCTTAAGTATATTTATGTAATATATTGATTTTTTATTTGTTGATAGAATTAATTTTTTGTAAGGTTTCTGTTAGAATTTCTTTTAAAATATTAATTACTTGATAAATATTAGGATGTGGATGATAGAATTATGAGTTATAAATTATAATTACTGGGAAATGATTCAGTCCCATTAGTAGTAGGTACAAGGTTCTTAATTCTTGTGCCCACAGCGAAGGTGGAAATTTGTCATCTTCTATACAGGGGTATCATTTTAGTTTT